CATAAGAATGGAAAAGCAAGTATCCAATGTACTCAATATTAATATGAAACCAATATATAAACAAAGTATATTCTAGTGGCAAGGGGAGAAAAAAGGGAAGGAGGAAGGTGGTGGGCGATTGGCAAATTCTCACTTAATGTGTACAAGGTAAGGGTGTACAGAGCACCCCCTAGGTGAAGGGCTCAACTACAACTTACACTTTACCTTAGAAATGAAAACAATGTAATCTAAACATTTGTGCCCTCATATCAACCTGAAATTTAAAAAAAGAAGAAGAAGAAAGAAAGAAAGAAACCAGCTGGGTTTGGTGGCTCACATCTATGATCCTAGCACTCTAGGAAACCCAGGCAGATGGACCACCTGAGCTCAGGAGTTCCAGACCAGCTCTGTGCAAGAGCAAGACTCCATCTCTACTAAAAATAGAAAAACTAGCTGGGGCTTGTGATGGGTGCCTATAGTCCCAGCTACTCACGAGGTAGAGACCAGAGGCTTGCTTGAGCCCAAGACTTTGAGATTGCTGCAAGCTATGATGAAACAGCACTCTACCCCAGAGAGTGAGACTCTGTCTCAAAAAAAAAAAAAGAAAAGAAAACCTCAGAGGACAAATAGTAGGAAGTATTGTCAATGCGTATATCTTCAATCCAGTAATTCAACTTTTGGTAACATAATAAAAGCTGACAGTCAGCCAGAATCACAAGGATGTACATAGAAAGATTTTATTCATCCCAGCTTTGTTTCCATGGTAAAAAGCTAAAAACAAGCTCAGTGTATTTAAGAGGATAATGTATATCTACCTGTGTTGATATTATAGATTTTCATGAATCTTCACATCCAATTAAGATGGCTATTTTTGGCTGGATGCAGTGGCTTATGGCTATAACCCTAGCACTCTGGGAGGCTGAAGCAGGAGGATCCTTTGAGGCCAGGAGTTCAAGACCAGCCTGAGCAAGAGTGAGACCCTGTCTCTACTAAAAATAGGAAAGTTAGGTAGGCATGGTGGTGCATGCCTGTAGTCCCAGCTGCTCAGGAGGCTGATCCTGGAAGACTGCTTGAACCCAGGAGTTTGAGGTTGCTGTGAACTAGCTGACTAGTGGCACTCCAGCCTGAGCAACAGATTCTGACTCTAGCTCAAAAAAAAAAAAAAAAAAAAAGTGAGGCCTGGTGCAATGGCTCACACCCATAATCCTAACAGTCTGGGAGCCGAGGCGGGTGGATTGCCTGAGCTCCCAAGTTTGAGACCAACCTGAGCCAGAGAGAAACCTCATCTCTAAAAATAGCCAGATGTTGTGGTGGGTGCCTGTAGTCCCAGCTACTTGTGAGGCTGAGACAAGAGAATCACTTGAGCCCAAGAGTTCGAGGTTGATGTGAGCTGTGATGCCATGGCACTCTATCAGGGGCAACAAAGTGAGAAACTCTGTCTTAAAAAAAATTTTAATTTAAAATTTTTTTAAAAAGTGTTTACAAGGATGTGGAGAAATTGGTATCTTTGTGCATTGTTGGTGGGAATGTAAAATGATACAATTACTATGAAAAACAGTATGGAAGATTTTCCAAAAATTAAGCACAGGCTGGGCGTGGTGGCTCACGCATGTAATCCTAGTACTCTGAAAGATTGTGGCAGGAGGAATAGTTGGAGCCAGGATTTCAAGACCAGTGTGAGATTGAGACCCCATCTCTACTTAAAATAGAAAAATGGTCATTCATGGTAATGCATGCCGGTGGTCCCAGCTACTTGGGAGACTGAGGCAGGATGTGAGCTAGGCTGATGCCACACTGCACTCTGCCAGGCAGTAGAGTGAGACTTTGTCTCAAATACATGTGTGTGGGGCGGGGGGGGGGGAGAGAATTATCATATGATCCAGCAATTCCGCTTCTGGATATATGCCAAAAGAAGTGAAATCAAGACCAAAACAGATATCTGCACATCTGTTCACAGCAGCATTGTCCACAATAGCCAAAACAACGCACGTATCTGTCACTGGATGAATAAACAAAGGGTGACATAGACATGCAACGGAATGTCACTTAGCCTTTAAAAGCAAAGTTATTCTGACACAGGTGACAATGTAAGTGAAACCTGAGGATATTTTGCTAGGTGAGATATGCCAATCGCGGAAAGGCAGATATTATATGATTCTATTTATATGATATGCTGTATCCAGAATCGTTGGATTCAGAGACGGCAGAATGGTGTTGACTCAGGAGCTGGGGCACAGGGGCAGGAGGCGGATGGGTGGTTAGCTTTTGATGGGTAGAGTTTCAGTGTGGCAAGATGCAAAAGTCCTGCAGGTGGATGATGTTGATGGCTGCAGACCCATGCGAATGTATGTA